TCTCGTGCGTTCCCAAAATAATGATAGCCAAAACTTTTCGTGCATGTAGCGGAGCACTCCTGCCCGATCATCGACATCGGGGGCTGTGCGAAGATCGATTCCGTGACGAGCTCCTGCCACTTCAGCAGCGGGTGCTGCCACAGGTCGGTGATGTGATGCGCTGTGGTGCAGCCTGGGAAGGCGTCGATGGGGATTAGTCGAGTGAGGGAGGGAGGGCCTTTCCCCTGCGCGTGGAGCTCGCGGAACACCCCTGTTACCCTCACGGACTGACTGGGCGGTTCAGGAGCCCATGTGATCAGGGGGCGCTGGATGCTGCTGAGCGCGTTTATGATGGCACCCGTCTGGCTGTTGAGGTAGCCGTGTAAACGTCTGCTGTCCTCCACGGTAGCCACGTTGGTGAAGAGGTCCAGGTCTTGTCGGAAAACGTCGCTCAATTGGGTGGCGACCTGGGGTGACCCATGGGGGCCACGAGGGGCGAACCCAGAGATGCAGTTCAGACAATCGGGCGCGAGTTCCTTCCAGTGGTCGATGTTTTTCGCAATCCCTTTGATAAGTTCCCGTTTCGCGTGAACGCGTTGCAAGTCCACTAAACACTTCTCGCATGCAGTGTTAATGATGTCAAACAGTTGATTGCATGCGTCCCGAGTTTGAGGGGCGGCCCAGTGCTGAGTGAACTTCTCTGCCCAAGCGCGTCGGCCCTGCAGCCTGGTCCCGTTCACCTCGGGGCCGTCGAGTTCGGAGAACCCCAATATCCCAAAGGGCGATGGACTTCCGAATGGAAGCCCCATGGCTTCGAGGAAAATATTGACCTCCGCGACTCTGGTGTCGTCCTGGGCCGCAGCCAAGCCCAGCAGGCTGGGGTTCGGCAGGTTGGCGTTGACGGCTTTGGCGGCCTGTATGATGTCGCTGTTGTCGATGATCTCTTGCGCCAGTAACTCTTGCAGGTGCGTCGCCAAGCCCGGGTGGGAGGCAGGGGGTGCCGGGGGCGTCTCATTAGCAGAGCTGGCAGCCTGGGCTGTCGGCAGTCTGCGCGGTGGAATGGCGGGCGGCGCCTGCGCGGGGTCTTGAGGAAGCGTCGGCGTTCCTTGGGGGGCGGCTCCTTGCAGTTGCATGGTTTCTGTGTCTTGCGTCAGGCCCGCATGTGACTCCTCCCCTGCTGCGTCGGGGGGCAGAGGGGCGGGGGGCCCAGGGGGGTGGTCATGTGAGCTGGCCCCGCAGCGTCTCGTGGTGCCCCACGGCCGTCAGCAGCGTCTCGGGGTGGAGTTGGAACTTGTATCCGCCGTTCCTGCTGGCACGATGGGCATCTGCCCGCGCCCGGAGCCGCAGCGCCGAAGAGTGGGCACGCACTGCGCTGGCGGGCGTGCAGCATCGTAAGTAAGCCGGCCGGGCCTCCCCCCTTCAGGCGCAGGACCAAGTGTAGGGTGGCGAGTTTCTGGACGTTGTATACGCTGCCTTGACAGCCCGTTGCCGAGCGTCGGCGGCTGCCTCTTATGGACAGCGACTGCGAGCCGCATGCAAGCGCCGGGGCCCGCCGCAGCCTGACTGTGGCCCTGAACAACCGGGGGCAGGTGCTGATCGACACTTTGGCCCTGAAATGTCGGGGGGTCGACCGGGGCCCAGATGCAACTAATTAGGCTGACAGTCCGGATGGTTAGCCCGAACGGCAGCTGCAGTGGAATGCCGAATGCTCGTTGCGCCAGGGCACAAAGTGGAGCGAGGCAAGCGAGCCGCGGCCAGGAGGTATTTGTAGACAGGTGCTCCCGCGACGCTTATGGCCGCCCGCCTCCCCGACGGTCTGGACGCTGCATACGCCGCCCGCGACGCCCAGACCTGGGCTTGGGGCGCTCCTCCGGGAGAAAAAAAAAAAGGGGAGGAAGGAACACGAGGAGAAGCATTACAAACCTAAGAAGAAACTAGCACTGGCACGTCCAATCGATCCCTGGACGAGTCTGCGAAAATGCGATGGCCACGGCGCTCCGGGGGCCTAGGGCCGAGCACCCGTGCACGCCACAACGGCCACATGCAATCCTGAGGACAAAACTTCAGCTACCAAGAGGGGGGCCTCTTGCAGACGCAATAAAAACAAGTTGTTTTGAAGTCGGTGGTCGGCTGCGAACGAGAAACATGCAAAACTCTGCAGAAGAACGCTGGGAATGGTGGCCGGAGCCACGGCATTGGCCCCCTGGTGGACGACCCGGGAGAGCAACAGCAGCAGGCAGCAGGAGGCACGAGGAGGGGGCACCCGAACCCAGAACGAACCCAGGGACGGGGGAGGAGGGGAGGAGAGGGCGAGAGCAGCGGGAAGGGCAGAGCAAGAGAAGGACCCCAGGCGACAGCCCGGAGGACGACGCAGCAACAGCAGCAGGAGGACGACGCAAGACGGCGGAGGAGAGGGGGGAGGACGACACCACCACCTGGGGACGCGTGCAATTAAGACTGATCCAATCACACACATTCACATGCTGACCAATCGCACAACGACATTCACATGCTCTCTGACCGTGCCGGAAACTAGTGCAGGCGTGCAATTAAGAGTGTTCCAATCACACACAGAACATTCACATGCAAACCGGCCGTGCCGGAAACGAGTGCAGGCGTGCAATTAAGACTGATCCAATCACACACGTATTCACATGCATGCTCTGTCTGGCGCTGTGATCACTCAGCCGCCGCCAGTGCGGCCAGCGCGGCCCGGGCCGCCCCGGTGGCTCGCCGGCCTCGCCTGCTGCTTCTTCTGGGCGCCCGGGACCGGCAGGCCCGCAGCAGCAGCAGCCCCCTTGGCCAGCTTCCCTGGCCTCCCGGAAGCAGCGTGGATGCAGAGCTCGCCGTAGCTGAAAGGCTGGAGGTCGAAGCCGAAGACCTGGGCGTACTTCGCCGCGGCATCCGTGAATCGGAAGTCCAGCGTGCACCTCCAGACCTTCTGCTGCTTCTTGGTGCCGTTCAGGTTGACCTCCTCCTCCACGGGCTCGTCCCCGCGCATCCAGACGCCCTGCAGCGTCGCCGCAGCGTCCACGGCGAACGCCCCGGCCACGCCCTCCCGCGCCAAAGCGGACTTGCCCGCCTCTGCGGCCGCGTCAGCACGCTTCTTGAGCTCTGCCAACACCAGGCTCCGCAGCGTCACCTTCCACGCTCCAGCCTGCCGGTTGGCTGCCGCAGCTGCGCTGTCCGCAGCCGCGCTGGCGTCCAGGTCGCGAGAGACGCGCTGGGACTTCGCCGAACCCCTGGCGCTCGCCTGGCCCTCGTCCGCGCTCACGAAAGCCTCGTCCTCCCCCGACCGCTCCACCCGCTGCGCTTCCTTTTTCTCCTTGTGCGCCGCGAACGCACCGGTCACTGCAGCCAGGAGAGCGCCGCGGAAGTGCACGATGGCCTGGTGACGAGCGCGCTCGCGCTGGAGGTCCCTGTCGGTGGCGAGCGCCAGAGCGGTCGTCTTCTTCTGTCCCTCCTCCAGGGCGGCGAGGCGGCGCTCCACATCGGCCATGGACAGGGGCGTGGCGGCAAGACTGGTCAGTGTCGTGCTGCAAACACACGCAGAAGCAGAGGCCCTCGAACCCTCTGTGGCCAGATGCACGTCCATCCATGCACCCACGCACGCATGTGCAAGCAACACAACAAAGATGTCAGTAGGCCCTTCCCCCCACATGACGGATGCACGGTGCCGTAGTACACAACATATATCATGATGAGCGAATGTGGGAGGACGGGCTACTGACCAGTCTCGAGATACAACGCTCAGACTCAGCCTCGGGTGGTGGTGGTGCTCGTCGCTGTGGTGGTGCGTAGTCGTGGTGCTGGTCGCCGTGGTGGTGCTGGTCGCCGTAGTGGTGCTGGTCGTGGTGGTGCTGGTCGCTGTGGTGGTGCTGGTCGCCGTGGTGGTGCTGGTCGCCGTGGTGGTGCTGGTCGTGGTAGTCCTCCTGGTCGTGGTGGTGCTGGTCGTGGTGGTGCCGGTCGCCGTGGTGGTGCTGGTCGTGGTGGTGCTGGTCGCCGTGGTGGTGCTCGCCGCTGTGGTGGTGCGTAGTCGTGGTGCTGGTCGCCGTGGTGGTGCTGGTCGCCGTAGTGGTGCTGGTCGTGGTGGTCCTCCTGGTCGTGGTGGTGCTGGTCGTGGTGGCGCTGGTCGCTGTGGTGGCGCTGGTCGCCGTGGTGGTGCTGGTCCGTGGTGGTGCTGGTCGCCGTAGTGGTGCTGGTCGTGGTGGTCCTCCTGGTCGTGGTGGTGCTGGTCGTGGTGGTGCTGGTCGCTGTGGTGGTGCTGGTCGCCGTGGTGGTGCTGGTCGCCGTGGTGGTGCTGGTCGTGGTAGTCCTCCTGGTCGTGGCGGTGCTGGTCGTGGTGGTGCTGGTCGCTGTGGTGGTGCCGGTCGCCGTGGTGGTGCTGGTCGTGGTGGTGCTGGTCGCCGTGGTGGTGCTCTTCGCTGTGATGGTGCGTAGTCGTGGTGCTGGTCGCCGTGGTGGTGCTGGTCGCGGTAGTGGTGCTGGTCGTGGTGGTCCTCCTGGTCGTGGTGGTGCTGGTCGTGGTGGCGCTGGTCGCTGTGGTGGCGCTGGTCGCCGTGGTGGTGCTGGTCCGTGGTGGTGCTGGTCGCCGTAGTGGTGCTGGTCGTGGTGGTCCTCCTGGTCGTGGTGGTGCTGGTCGTGGTGGTGCTGGTCGCTGTGGTGGTGCTGGTCGCCGTGGTGGTGCTGGTCGCCGCGGTGGTGCTGGTCGTGGTAGTCCTCCTGGTCGTGGTGGTGCTGGTCGTGGTGGTGCTGGTCGCTGTGGTGGTGCCGGTCGCCTGGTGGTGGTGCTGGTCGCTGTGGTGGTGCTGGTCGCCGTGGTGGTGCTGGTCGCCGTGGTGGTGCTGGTCGTGGTAGTCCTCCTGGTCGTGGTGGTGCTGGTCGTGGTGGTGCTGGTCGCTGTGGTGGTGCCGGTCGCCGTGGTGGTGCTGGTCGTGGTGGTGCTGGTCGCCGTGGTGGTGCTGGTCGCCGTGGTGGCGCTGGTCGCCGCGGTGGTCCTCCTGCCCAGCATACAGCGACAATCATGCTCTGCATCTGTTCTGGTGCCGATTGCGATGAGAAGGGAAGGCGAAGCAGCGACCGCACTTGGCGCACTGGTGGATCAATCTCTTGGCCACTCGCTGCGGCAGCGGCGCTCCCGCTCGGTCTGGCCTCTGCGCACGCGTCTCATAGTGCCTGAAGAAGTCTGTGCTGCGCTGGAAATGCTGATGGCAATGCGGGCAGCGCCATTGCGCGTCGCGCCGGCAATCCCCATGCTGCACAGGAACATTGCGAAGCGGGCAGCCACTGGACACATGCTTGTTGTAGTGCCCCTTGGCGTTGAACGTGGCGTTGCAGCGGCTGCACCTGAGCTGCCCGGGCGGCGGCGCAGGCGGCGGCGCTGGCGGTGCTGCTGGCGCTGCTGGCACAGGCTCGTGCGTCTTGGCGTGCCTCGCGAGCGAAGAGCGGTTCTTGAAAGTACGGCCACATGTCTCGCACTGCAGCGGGCGCGGCGGGTGCAGCTGGTGCTTTGCGTCCACGTGTCTCGTCAGCCCATCGGCCGAGGACGCCTGGAAGCCGCATGCTGAGCAGGTCAGGTTAGCACTGGCCACACGATCGCGCGGCGGGGGCCGGGCACCTCGTCGCGGCCGATAAGCGCTGACTTTCTTGCGCCAGGCTTCGCGGTCTTGTGCGTCACGTGACCACGTGCGCTCGCTCAGCCCCATGCCCCGCACGGTGTTGCGCGCCTGCTCTGCCGGCGTCCGTCTGAGCCCCTTGCGCCCAGCCTGCGTGCGAGACGGGCCGCGCCCCTCAACGGCGCCGAAGAGCAGCTGCAGGGGGAGGCGCATTGGGTCCATGCGAGCAACATGCCCAAGCCAGCGTGCTCCAGCCTGCGCGGCATACACATGGATATCCTCCACTCCAAGCCTCGAGGCAAGCATTGCGTGCGAGATGTGCAAGTCGGCGCACTGCTGCCAGGTGAGGCCGAGGATATCACGTATCCAGCCGTACCACGTGCGCCGTAGTCTGGCCAGCTCGCGTCGGCGCAAGGTCCAGGTCTCGGCTCCCCACAAGAGCGTTGTCTTCACAACTGCCAGGAAGATCGTCCTCTTCGTGCTGAAGTGGATGCGCCCGTCGGACCAGAGACCGCGCAGCCGGCCATGCGACTTGCACGCCTCCTGCACTCGTCGCTCCACGTCGGGTGCTTGCCCGAGCGTGTTGTCTGGCGCCAGCAGGGATCCTAGGTAGGAGAATGTCACCACCTGCTCAACCACGCGGTCGTGGATGCGAAGCTCAAGTGGGACAGTGCCTTCGCCAGCGAACTCGCTTCGCACGCACATCCATTTCGTCTTCTGCACGTTAACCTCACCGCCCCAGTCCCGGACGGCGTCTACCAAGAGCCGCGCGGCCACCTCGAGGTCAGCGAAAGTCGTGGCATAACCGACCAGGTCGTCGGCGCATTCGAGATCTGTGACTAGCGATCGCTGCTCCGCCGTCTGGAGGGTCCGTGCGCGAGCGCGCAGGTGGCCGTCAGGCTTGGACGCCACGCAGACACCGATGTCGCGCCCAAGCTCCTGGCGAGCGCGCCGCCGCCAGTCCAGGACGACGAAATGGAAGTAGAGGTCCCAAAGCGTCGGCGCCCCCACGGCCCCCTGCCGCACCCCCGTGTTCATAGGGAAGCGTCTGCTCAGGCGCCCGCGGAACTTCACCTGCGAGCCCATGCCTGCGTGCATGTCCTCCAGCAGCCCCACAACGCCTGCAGGCGCCCCAAGACGACATAGGATCTTCCAGATCAGCTCCCGGGGGGCGCTGTCGAAAGTCTTGCGGAGATCAACGAAAATGGCATACACGCCCTCGTCGTCAGCGGGGGCGCCGTGCAGCGGCGCGGTGGCGCGGAACTCCTCGAAAACACGGCGGGCCACATATGTAGCGTCTGTGCACCCGCGGAAGCGCCGAAAACCATCTGCGATTCATCCAGCACCTTCTCTGCCAGCGACCGAAGGGCCTTGTTAACAAGGATCGCGACAACTTTGCTCAGAGGCTGCAGCAGACAAATGCCCCTCCAGTTGTCGAGGTCCGCGAGCTCCCCCTTCCCCTTGTAGAGAGCCACCATGTGGGACTCGTGCCATTCCGCAGGGCGAGTAGAAAAATCACCACCCCACCACGCCCGCACGTGCGGTGTGAGGATGTCCGCGAGCTCGTTCGCTACCCGTGGGACTTGGTACAGCTCTGCAGGGACGCCATCAGGGCCAGGGGCCTTCCGTTGCTTCAGTTGCTTAAGAGCCGCAAAGACATCAGCTCGACAAGGCGGCGTCCAGTCCACACCCATAACGGGCGTCACTGACTCCAGGACTCCGTTGACAACAGCCTCGTCGATCGGCCTGGTGATGTTGAGCACACGAGCAAAGTGATCCGCCATGGAGTCCAAGTGGGCCGCTGCACCTCGCTCAAAATGCGGCTGTGGCGCTTTAGGCAGCGAGCCAAGTTGTTGTGACATAAGCTTCGTGCCAGAGAACACCGCGGCCATGTCGCGCGGGAATGCAGCAGATGACACGTCATCAGCCTGTCGAGACCACCACTCGTTGATCATGCGACGGACTGCTCGTTTGTTCTCCTTCTGGTGTCGCCGCAGAATCCGCTTGGCGCCAGCCGTCGGGTTGTTCCGATGCCTCCGCAGAGCTTCGGACCTCTGGGCGGCCAAGCGTCTCAGCGCCACCTGGTTGTCCATCTGCCACTCTGGTCGTCGCTGGGATGGGGCCTCGCCGAGGATGTCCTCTCCGGCTGCACGCACGATCCCTGGAATGTCCGCAGGGGCGACGCCGTCATGGCGAAGCTCGGGAACGACTCTGTCCACGTAGGTGTCACGCCTGGCTGGGTCTCTGAGCCCAGCGACGTTGAAGCGAGGCAGTGGGCGGCTGAGGGCTTGAGCTGGCGCGGGGCCGCCAGCGATGGACCTACGAGGGCGCTGCCGGAGGCGGACAACACCAAGAATGTGATCTGAATCAACATACACTCCTGGCTGCATGCAAACATCTGCCACCAAATCAGCATCACGGGTACGAACAAGAGCATAATCCAACAATCCTGGGGTTCGGCCCCGAGGGTGGTACCACGAAGCCTTCTGAGAGACACGATGTGGGAAGAAAGTGTTGGTAATGCGCAAGCTCTCACCACGGCAAAACTGCAACATGCGATCTCCCATGCCGTTGCACTGGCCAAGACCATGCGCCCCGAGCGCCGCATCATCCGTGCCAGCTGGCCTGCTCCCAACCCGACAGTTGAAATCCCCCAGGACAAAAGTGACCATGGATGATTTGCGTAGCTCATCCCGCACCGACGCCCAAAAGCCTTGGATTTGCTCCTCGGGCGCACGGAACGTCGGACCATACACAGAGAGCAATCGCCAGCACCCCTCGCGACCAGACAGCTGCAACGTACATGACACCAGCCTCCCAGACGTATGCCCCACTGACTGTGACCCTGCAGCCCGCCACGCAGAAGCAGCCGACGGAGAGAGCAGTAGAGCAGTACCTCCCTGAGCACCCACACCAGCATAAATAAGAACAAAGCCGTCATCATACACGTAAGTCCCCTGACCGTCCAGCCGAACCTCCTGCAAAGCCAAAGCATACAAACCAAGTCGGCATACATGTGATTTAAAAGTTCCATCTTCTCCTCCCCAATGCCCTCCACCTCACCCTTCCCAATCTCCCGCCGCATACGTAGTGTACGAACGTTCACGAAACCGACCTTGCAAGTAACACGCCCCCTCTTGAATTGAATTGGATCCGGCAGAGAACCAACAGTCCGCTCCGAGGGTAAATGCGAAGACCTCCCAAGTCCCCGAAACGTCATCCGGGCCCAGGACCCCGCCGGATCAGATAGACTCGATAATTCCATACCTGAATTCGTAACCAGTACAAATAGGAATAGCAGTTAAGCTGGTTAGGCCTCTGCCTTCCGTCGCCGAGGACCCCCATCACCCACAGCGCAAAAGCACCGAATGAGGGATCAGGGAGCTTTCTCCCGACCGCGTCTGCCTGCGAGCTCTCGGCTACCCGCTTGGCCCTGCACACCGATCCGCCTCCCCCGGTGGGAAGCATGGTCGTCACGAAGCTGGTGTACAGGTTCACCGTGGCACGGCGTTGACGTTTGGCAGTCCGTCTTCGCCACGGAGAGCGTCTGGTTGTCCTCCAACTGCTTTCCCACGTAGATGGGGCGCTGCTGAGCAGGAAGGATGTTGTCCTTGTCCTGGATATTCGCCTTTTCCCTTGTCTATCGTGTCGGTGGCCGCCACGTCGATTGTTATCGTCCTCCCCGTGCTGATGCTGCTGCTGCTGATGCTGATGATGATGATGATGATGGTGATGATGACGATGATGCCTATAATGGTAACGACGTTGGTGATGGCGGCGGCAATGAAGGTGATGATGCTGAGTAGTAGTGGTGGTAGTCGTAGCTGTAGTAGTAGTAGTAGTAGTAGTAGTAGTACTAGTAGTAGTAGTGGTAGTAGTAGTAGTAGTCGTAGTAGTAGTAGTAGTAGTAGTAGTAGTTGTTGTAGTCGTAGTAGTAGTAGTAGTAGTAGTACTACTAGTAGTAGTAGTAGTAGTAGTAAAAGTAGTCGTAGTGGTAGTAGTAGTAGTACTAGTAGTAGTAGTAGTAGTAGTAATAGTAGTAGTAGTAGTAGTCGTAGTAGTAGTAGTAGTAGTAGAAGTAGTAGTAGTAGTAGTAGTAATAGTAGTAGTCATACAACATGATACCTATATCATACAACATCATACGTCACACAACATGATTCATACACCAGATACCGCCATGCATCATACAATGTGGTACATACATCATACAAATCACTCATCATACACCATGACACATACACCATACACCACCATGCACCATACGACACTATACATACGCCATACATCGTCATGCATCATACAACATTATACATAAACCCCATCATCATGCATCATACAACAATATACACATCATACAACATCATGCGTCATACAACATTGTACATACACCATACATGATCAACCATCACACACCATCAAACATCATACACCATCAAACATCATACGTCCTCAATCATCATACATCATCAAACATCAGACATCATACAAAATCGCACACAATCAAACATCATACAGCATAATCATAATACCCCATCAAACATCATACGTCATAATACAGCATCATACATTATCGTACACCGTACACCATACATCATAATACACCACCGGACACAATACATCATAATACATCATGAAACACATACACCATACTAGACCATCAAACGCCGTACAAAACACATCGTCATACATCATCAAACACCCGGCATCGTAATACCTCGTACATCATCAAACATCATACAAAATTATCCCGCCAAAGCAACCTAACAGCGATATGTAGAAGCATATCTGAAAGCATTCCCCTTAAGATTCAGATGAAAATCCAGTTGTAGAATTCTGCTGTTTTCACAGTCGTAGTCGCATTCGCGATGACAATCGCAGCGGCAACGGCAGTCGCAGTCACAGCCTCAGCTTCAGCCTGCCTCAGCCTCAGCCTCAGCCTGCCTCGGCCTCAGCCTGCTTCAGCCTCAGCCTCAGTCTGCCTTCAGCCTCGGCCTCAGCCTGCCTCAGCCTCAGCCTGCATCAGCCTCAGTTTCAGCCTCAGCCTGCCTCAGCATCAGCCTGCTTCAGCCTCAGCCTCAAACTGCCTCAGCCTCAGCCTCAGTCTGCTTCAGCCTCAGCCTCAGTCTGCCTTCAGCCTCGGCCTCAGCCTCAGCCTGCCTCAGCCTCAGCCTGCCTCGGCCGCAGCATCAGCCTGCCTCAGCATTCAAAATGTGGCCTAGGAATAAAGTTCTGGGAACTAGAAGAACACGAAGTGGCCTACAGTTGGCTCCGGGCATTCAAAATCATGCCCAGGAATGACGTTCTGGGAACTTGAAGAGCACGAAGTGGCCTATGTTGGCGAAAAACGATTCCCGGTTCTCCTCCCCGGCACCCGCCCAGACCCCCCTGAGGAGTCATGATGCTCTCTTTTGACCCTATTAGAAACCTATCAGCAAACGCTGTTCGGTAAAAACAGCAACCATCATACATCATCAATCATCATACATCAAACATCAATCATCATACATCATCGGACACCAAACGTCATCAAACATCAAACATCATACATCACCAAACATGAAACATCAAATAACACCAAACACCAAACATCACACATAATCGAACATCATACATCATCAAACATCGAACGTGAAACATCAAACATCACACACCATGCATCATCAAGCATCAAACATCGCACATCAAACACCAAACATCATTAAACATAAATCATCAAACATCAACAAGCACCAAACATCAAACATCAAGCATCATCAACCATACATCGCAGATCATCAAACATCAAACATCAAACGTCATACACCAAACACCAAACATCATTAAACATCATTAAACATCATACATCAAGCACCAATCATATAACACCACCATTTAACAGCAACCATCAAACATCACACATCATTCAATATCGAACATCAAACACAAAACATCATTCAACATCAGTAGTCAAATAAAAAAATCATACACCATTAACCACCATACATCGTACATAATCAAACACGATACACCAATCCCCGTAAATCATCATACATGATCATACATGACCATACATCATCATACATCATCATACATCCTCACACATCATCATACGTCAATATACATCATCAAGCACCATCATACGTCATCATACGTCATCATACATCATCATACATTACCGTACACCATGATACATCATCATACATCATCGTACAACATCAAATATCAGCGTACACCACCATCCATCATCATACATCAGCATACATCATCGTACAACATCAAAACATCATCGTACACCATCATACCTCATCATACATCATAAAGCACCGTCATACATCATACATGAAACACCCACACCCGCACCCACACCCACACCCAAACCCTCACCCACAATCTCCTTTGTTTATTCCCAACCATCCTGTGGTGTTGGGTCCTCGTTTTGAAGAGACGGTGCCCCGCGTTTCTCCTCCTCCTCGCCCTCCTCCCCCTCCTTGCCTCTGCTCTCGGCACACCTCTCACGCGTTTCGTAGCCCCATAGGGAGCTCCACCGAAGGCCCCAGTGGGGGTGTTCGCATGCGGTTCCCCCACCCAGGGCAGCGTTTCGTGGCCCCATAGGGAGCTCCACCGAAGGCCCCAGTGGGGGTGTTCGCATGCGGTTCCCCCACCCAGGGCAGCGTTTCGTGGCCCCATAGGGAGCTCCACCGAAGGCCCCAGTGGGGGTGTTCGCATGCGGTTCCCCCACCCAGGGCAGCGTTTCGTGGCCCCATAGGGAGCTCCACCGAAGGCCCCAGTGGGGGTGTTCGCATGCGGTTCCCCCACCCAGGGCAGCGTTTCGTGGCCCCATAGGGAGCTCCACCGAAGGCCCCAGTGGGGGTGTTCGCATGCGGTTCCCCCACCCAGGGCAGCGTTTCGTGGCCCCATAGGGAGCTCCACCGAAGGCCCCAGTGGGGGTGTTCGCATGCGGTTCCCCCACCCAGGGCAGCGTTTCGTAGCCCCATAGGGAGCTCCACCGAAGGCCCCAGTGGGGGTGTTCGCATGCGGTTCCCCCACCCAGGGCAGCGTTTCGTGGCCCCATAGGGAGCTCCACCGAAGGCCCCAGTGGGGGTGTTCGCAT